ATCGCAACAAAGTTTATATGTAATTCTATATGTTTTTTGCTATAATTTTATATATAAAAAATTTAGATGTGACAAATTAGTTGACTGATATATATTTTAAATTTTTTATATTTTAATTAAAAATATTTTAGTAATCAATTAATTTAATAATAAGAACTTTTTTATTTAAATTCTACAAAATTATAGAATTTAAATAAAAAAATGAACTTAATTAGGCATCGCATGCTGTGATGTGTTTATACATCGCATTTTAACAATTGACCAATTAAATTTGAAGATCGGGTGTAACGTGCAAATTAATTTTGTATAACAAAAATAAAGAAATTTTTTAAAACTTAATAATATCTCTAAATTCTGTCTATGAAACTGCCTTTCGAGCTCTAACAAAAAAAATTCCTTGCAAAATTTTGTATATATTAACCTTTATTTAACCACTAACTCTAACCTTGACCCTAATCCTAATTCTAAACTAACATTAATTTTTTTTTTATTTATACGGATCTACAAATTATATTTATATAAATGCGATGAATTAGCACATCGCAGGGTGCTACGCATATATTTATTCCAAAAAAATTATTAAATTTAATTAATTATTTGTTAAAATCTTTTAATTAAGTTTTGTAAATAATTTTGGCTAGTTTTTACAATATATATTTTAAATTTTTTTAAACTTTAAAAAAAGATATCTTAATAACTAATTAATCAAATTTAAAAAATCTTTATTTTAATTTACAATTCTGTAAAATTAAAATAAACAAAATTATCAAATTTAGTTAAATAATTGCTAAGGTACCTTTGATATATTAATTTTGTTTAAATTTTTTAGAATAATTAAATCGAATAAATCGAACTATTTTAGCAACCTTTTTACCAAATTTAAAAAATATTTCAATTTTATAGGTCTGTAAAATTATGATAAAAAAGAATTTTATTAAATTTAATAAAAATAATTATTAGGATATATTTGATCAAATTTTTTAAAAAAACTTAAATCTATAGTAAATTTTATTTTAATAAATTTAGGTTTTATATAAAAAATCAAAAATAAGATTAATAAAACACAGGTTTATATAAATATGTTTATCAAGCTCAGAATTTATTTATTTATTCTAGGTTTATGTAATAAAATGATAAATACAGATTTTATTACTTAGCAATTTAGGTTTTATCTTGTTATATAATAATTAGATAGATTAACAGATCTACAATATTATAATTTATTAATAGTAAATAAAATACTTTCGCCACATGCTATGACTGTGGTTAACGCTTGTAGTCAGACGTACCATTTAACCACTATTGACTTGAATATACCAAGTCCTCAGTTTTTTTTGTGATATCTCAGCTTTCTGAATATTGTCCAGCTTAATCGTAGTAATCCTGACAACTATAATCACTTTTAATCTTAGCAAACACACGATATTATATATTATTGGCTCGAATTCTATTTAATCTCATCATTCAGTTTAAGTAATCACAAAATTGAAGATTTCCGCTCATATGATTTGGGAATTGCTACAAACACAGAAGCACATGATATAATTCCCTAATCTACTATATCCTAACACTAACCTTAACTATAGTGCTGGTCATGCTTTGTCATTAAGGTTAGTGCTAGACATTAACTGTGTCGATAAGCTGTGTCGATAGCTATTCCCAAACATTTCTCTAAAATTTTTTAATTGCTTGTGATCTTTTTAATCAATTAAACGTACTTTATTAAATAATTAAATTATTCAAATACAGAAATCATTTTTCTCCATCCTCATGTATTGGTTTACTATTTCCCATAAACAACGCTGTAACAAACATTAACGCACTATATATTGTGAAAAGCATAAAGGTGAATTGAAATGCTAACACATAAGCGTGAATGACCAATAGCCGTGTATCTGGTGGCAATGATTGTATAGTATATACGGATTGTGTTGAAAAAGATGGAGGTAAAGTTAAAGTACTTAATTCATGAGAAAGTCTATTATTAAATGCTGCTCCTGACATTGCAATTCCAAAAACACCCCCAACTAAAGAGAAAAATATAGATGATGAATTAGTAAAATAATTTAATAATTTTGCTAAAAAATTAAACTTTTTTTTTAAATACTTACTGCTCCTAAAAAAAAAAGATAATGTAGTAACCGAAGCTATATCCTTCGGCTCAACCAATCCCTGAACGCATAATGTAGTGCCTTGAAAACCTGCACCCATTCCAATACCGCCAATTAACATGTATCCTATATATTCACCATATCTAGTATTTTCTCTCCATATAATGGTTAATCCGGAACCAATTATTGTCAATGCCGAAGCAATTAGAGTCACTAATCGAAACTGTATTTTGTCTGTTCGAGAGAATAGTTGACCGGTCAGGAGTAAGAAAGCTGCCACACCAAGAGCGTAAGGCATGAACTCTAATCCGGATTGTGTAGCTGTTTAAAAGAAGCATATAGGTTGTTGAATTTATTTGATGTTTAACGATGAATATGTGAGTTAGTTGATAGATATACTTGCCTGAATCACCTTTTATAACTTGGAAGTAAAGTGGCATATAAAAAATATAACTAAATATTACCATTCCTTGGAAAATGCATGTGAGAAAACATGAGACTATATTAAGATTTGTAAATAAACGTGCTATTAAATAGAGAAAACAATTCTTAGCAACAATATTATAATAGATTAATTAATATATTCTTGCAAATAAATCAAGCTATGAATACTTACGTGGAGCAATTGGTTCAGTAACTATATAATTCTCAGCAAGAACGAATATTATGTAACCGAGTGCGCCGACACATAAAAGTATTATAATCACGGGACTATTCCAAGGATAAGTGCTACCG